GATGAGTGACTTCCTGAGGGACCAGGGCTGGGACCCAGAGAGCAGTGAAGGAGCAAGAGGAGCTGTGAACCCCATGAAACCCGCCCTCCCCAAACCCTGCCCCCCACTGCCCCACAGCCCCCACCTCCGGGTCAGGGGGATCTTCGAGACCCAGTTGTTGAAGGAGCCGGACACAAAGACGTCCTTGCCAGCGCCGGTCCAGCGGAACACAGTGGGCCGGGCCTGAGTCGGGGCCTTGTCGCTGACCTCCAGGTCCTGCCGCCAAGCCAGGAACTCCTCCTTCTCCAGCGGAGCCTGGCAGACATGCAGAAAGGCGCTATATAAACGTCCTGGGCTCCCCTGGGGATTGTCGGCAGAGCAGCTCCACCCCACTCAGCACCTTCTGCGGCAGACAAACACGACCGACAGCCCTCGGTCCCGCTGGCCGAAGCATTTCAAGCTTGGCTGCCATTTTAGATCCCCTTCCCCCCAGAAGCTGATCCCAGGAAACGACCCCGCCACCCGGCAAAACGAACCAAAAGTCGAGTGCCGTTTCCTCCGGGATCCGTGTGCTGCTCCGGCCCGACAGAACAAGAGCTCTGATCCACAACCCGCCCCGGCTGCAGGCCCGGACCCTACCTTCATGTCCTCCCCGTGGAAGATGTCCGCATCCTCAGGGCTGTCCATCAGGATCTTGGGGCGCTCCCCATCCTTGGTGCCCCGGCGATGCCCCTTCTCGCCCTGGCGCTCCAGCCCGGCCCGCTCGCTGCTCGTGTTCCCCATGGCGCTGCCCGGCTCGGCGCGGCGGCACCACTCCCTCGCTGCAACAAGGGGGCACAGCTGTACGGCGCCTCTGTTCAGGACCCCCCCGGCAGCAGCACCCCACAACTGCAGCCCCGTGCCCCCTGCGCCCCCCACCAGCCATCCGACCGCAGTAACCGAAAACAGCCCTACTCTGGCAGCGAGAGCCCGGGCCCCTTGCTGTAGTTTTTTGGGGGGGTGGGGTTCAGCCAGTACAGCGCGACCTGGAGCCCCGCGGTTCTGAAAAGCGCTGCAGACCCTTTTCTCGGCAGGGCGAGGCCTCATCCTGAAAGAGTGACAGCGCCGCCTGCTGGTCAGAAACGAGAATCTCCACGCAGACAAGCAACAGCCTGCCGTCTCTCGGACCCGGACCCGAGCAGAGCCCGGCCGGGCCGAGCCCCTCTCCAGGAGCCGCTCAGCTCCAACACGCCCAGCTGGGCTCGCTCCGAGTCCCCGACACGACGACGGGAACAGTCTCTCCTCTCCGTTCTGAAGCGACCGACTACTGTGTATTCAGAGACTCTTCTACTGATCTAAATGAGTACACAGAGGTGTCCCATCCAACAGATGTTCCTACCAGGCCGATCCAGATACCTGTATATCCCAATCAGATGCCCTGGAATAACAAAGGCATTCGCTGAAAGTGTAAAAGCACAGTCCGTTGCCTTTTAATCAGGTGACGGAGGACTGTATAAAAAAAAAATCAAAGTACGACTGGGAGAAAACTTCTAAACTGGCAAAACAGGAATTTCAAGGACAACGGAGAAAAACAGCTTGGAAGTGACTTGAGGCGCATGTGGCAAGACATTCAGGCCATCATGAACTGCACAGGCAACACCAGCAGCATTTCCTCCACTGAGACATCTCTACCGGATGAGCTGAACAGCTTTAACTCCTGTTCTGAGGCTGGGAACACTGAGCTGCTGTCAACGTTGCCAGTGAACCAGGAGCCTGCGTTTAGAGAGCTGTAACACATGAGGCGCGGGGAGCTTTCACGAGAGAGAAAACCCGCAAAGCAGCTGCCCCAGATGGGGTCCCCCCTCATGTCCTTAAAACCTGTGCAGGTCAGCTGTCTCCTGTACAGACATTTTTCGCCTCTCTCTGTCCCTGTCAGTCGTACCAGAGGGCCTCAAGAAAAGCACAACTGTGCCACTGCCCAAGAAGACCAAGGTAACTTGCATGAACGATTACCGCCCAGTGCTCTGCCTTCAGTGGTCATGAAGCGCCTGGAAAGACTAGTATTGTCCTATATAAACTGCTCTATCCCAGACTCCCTTGTCACTTCAGCTTGCTTACTGCCCGAATAGGTCAGCTGATGATGCCTTATCTCTAGCACTACATACTGCCCTCAAACAGGCTGTTCAATTCAAGTCAACTGTATTTGTCATTGTACTCACACGGGTGCACAGTACAGTGAAAAGTATTTCTCATTAGTCTCTCAGGTGCGGTACATAAATAGAACAGACAAGACAGTAACACCATAACAATAACAGTGTAATAGCATAACAGTGTAATCAAAACTGTGCAAACACGCAAACAGAGAAAAGAATACAACAGGACAAAAACAGTGCAAAAGTAGTTCGGGGAACAGTGCAAAAATATGGCGATGAATAAACTGTACAACTAGAAGAGTTTAAAGTATAATTTCGGCTTACATTCAGTTGTCGTGTACGCAGTGGTGTAGGAGTACAGTCATTGTGGGTACAGGAAGAAGTGAGGAGAGATCAGAGTATGATGGGAGGGAGAGGAGGCGTCACCAGCTTGACGGCTCTGGGGAAGAAGCTATTTCGGAGTCTAGTTGTGTGCGACTGGAGTGTCCGGAACCTTCTACCAGATGGTAGGGGGACAAACAAGTTATGACTGGGGTGAGTGGGGTCAGACATAGTTTTGGTGGCTTTTGTCAGACTGCTGGTGTTGTAGGTTTCCTGGATGGATGGTAAGGCACTGCCGATGATGTGTGGGGCAGTTCTGACCACCCGCTGCAGTGCAGTTGC